TCGCCAACAGAAACATGTTGCACGACTTATTAATTTTAAAAATCGTTTTTATCATGCTAAGCTTCTTTTAAACGAAATGAATATTCTTAATATATATCAACTTAATATTTTTAATGTATTGTGTTTTATGTTTAAATGTAAAACACGCACATCTTCTATTTCTTTTCACAATTTATATTCTTCAAAAGTTAAAAATAAATACAATTTGCGTTATGAAAATTTTATTCTTCAACCAGTTTTCAAAACTAATTTTGGCAAGTTTTGCATTTAATTTAGAGGAACATTTTTTTGGAACAAAGTAATATTAAACCTTTTTGATTTTTCTCAAGAATGGAGCTTTCTCATATTGAAAATTAAGAAAGTTCTCTTATTTAAAATTAAGAAAGTTGAAAAAAACTCTTTTCTCAATTGAAAACATTCTTATATATTTTTCGATTATAAATGACTTTCGCGTATTTTCCGTAACCACGATGTATTTTTGGTTGGACAAAAAGCTATTTACAAATTCGCTTTGTTTCATCGCTATAGTCTTCGTTAATAAATATATTCTTTTCCTTGAGTTTACGAGCATTAGATAAGTTGTTTTCATTGTCCTGTTTAATATTTTGCAGACAATAGTTCTAGGCTTGCCATTAAACTTACCGACACGATTGTTGTCGTTAAATTTAATGGCAAGTTGTTACTTAGTTTTTTCCCTACTCTGTATTTCATTATTCACTTCGAATTTGTTATCAGCATTCTGATGTTCAATTTTTTCTTTATTTGAAGATAAGGAGGCTACAAATGAGTTCTCGTGGGCATCCACTGTTTTTATATGATCCGTTTTACCACAATGAACAGAGTCGTTATTAAAAACTGCTTTGCTTACGTAACATTGTAATTTATATCTCTTGCTTTTCATAGTTAGTGCTCTGGAAAACAATTACTATAATTTACCGTGATTTTTAAACGAGTTAATGTTTATAAAAGTTATAAGAATAATTATCTTATTATATATGCTTATTCATTTTAGGCTTTTTCTTACGAATTTAATTCGCTGTTACTTTAATAAAGTGATAATTGGAAGTGGCGTGTGGTGTAAAAGTAATAAAAGGCGCAAAACGTTCGTATATCAGGGTTTAGCATTTATTTTCTTATAATTTCTTATAAAAAGCTTTATGTTAAATTATTATATTAAAAAATGAATTATATCATTTTAAACGATTTCATATCTTACATACAAAGACCGAAATGTTAAAAACAATGCATGGAAATAAATTTTCCCATGCTTTAAAGTAGAAAGTATGCAAAGAAAAATTAATAACTGCTCTTAGTTAACTAAAAGTATGTGTATTTTTTGCCATTTTTATTGTTGATAATAAAAAAAAGTAGCGGGAAAAAAAAATAAATGGAAAATCAAAACGGCGTTTCGTCAAGACGAAAAAGTTCGCTTCGTCTTGTGGAAAACAGCCTTAAGTCGTTTAATAAAGGTAAAGATTATTTATTCAAGCAAAAAAAAATTCCCTTATATTGGATTTTCGCAAACTTTTTAATTTTATTTAACTAAAAAGTATTTTTATTTTATCACCGATTTCCCAACTGCCCAACTCGTGGCAAGAAAGTTCCTAACTTTTCTCTTTCAAGATTGTGAGGAGGGAAGACTTCCCTCTACCCCCACCAAAGAGACGCCCCTGAGTGTAGGTTTAAAAAAAGAAAAATAATAATATGGTCAAAAAATAATGCCTAAAAAATCAGAAAATAGTTAAAATAATGTTGATTTCAAGCTAATATATTTTTCTATATGAAATAGTAAGTATCTATATTTCAACATAAAAATTTCGTGCCAAATATTCTCTCATGTGTTGATAATATTTTACCAAAACGAAGAACTCAATAGCGTTTTTAATTAGATAAAAGCCGCAAACAACTGCAATTAAATTTATGCTAATTATACTGGCTTCTGTTATCACCACATAAAGTCTTATTCATAAAACACAAAGCAGTTTAAACTTCACTATTCACATCTTAGAACTCTTTTGGTAAACACATATTACCTATTACAATATTATTATAAATAACAATTAGTTTAAGAAACACCCACAAACAATATTTATGTTAAAAGTAATATTCAAGTAAACAAGAAAGAAAAAAACAAAAAGAAAAACAAAAATTAAATAAATAATATAAAGAGTACATATATAAAAAAGCCATTCTATCTACGTATACTGTACAACTTATTTATTAAAAAAGATAAAAATAAAATATATAACAGTTTGTAATAAAGTAATATTTAAATAAATAACGAAAAAATAAAAATAAAAGAGTATTCAGTTAATAAAAACCGTAATAGTTATGTATATTTTAAAACCAATTTGTATAAAAGTAAAATTTCATTGAAAACAATTCATTGATAATTAAAAAAAAGGAAAAAATATTCAAGAACTCAGATTAGATTTTAACAATAACTTTTATAACTAAAGGAAATACCATAAATTAATGAAAAAAAGTTGATACATTCTGAGACATACTTTATATAATTGAATTTTAGTTTAAAAGAAGTATTTAAAATTGGATATATTAAAACCCATAAGTAATAACACCTGTTTAGATTCATTTTTGTTGTACACTAACGTTTTTCGTATTTGCAGTATAAAGAAACTTTTTTCAAAAGTAAGGTCCACGTTATTGAGTTAAATATATAATTTGTTTTGGATAATAATTAGGGACAAGGTAGTTATTATAAAAAATTTTAGGAGAGTCCCATCTTTATTTTATACTAGAGATGCCACGAATATTCGGCCGAATATTCGGCAACATTTAATTATATTAAGTGCTCCGACCTGCTTTGTTGTAGTGCATATGTCAACTACTCTGTGGGCATTTATAAATCGGTTGTGTCACAGAATGCATTATTTGTTGACTGATTCACTAAATATTTTAACTACAGTTATGCATAAAAGTTTCATACTTTTCAAACCATTCAGAAAAGTTCAAAATTAACTCTTGCACTAAATCTTGCACTTTTGAGGTAATTTCAAAATATGCTATAGATTGAAATAGCATAAAAAACTCTAAACTTATTAAAAATGTTATTTTCACGACAACCTGAGCAATTTTCACGACAACTTAGAGCATGGTTTTAACCTTAATGGAAAGACGATTAAACGATTGTCTTTTTTGTTTCACCGAAAATTCGTAACATCACTATTTTATACATGAACATTAAAACTTGGTGTAAGTTGATTTTATAAATGTTTAATGCGCAGAGTATACGCAGAAGAGGCTCGCATAGTAAAATTTTATTAGCTCCAAATAATATTCTGCGCGCATGTTTTTGTTTTATGTATAATTTTTTTAATTTTGAATGGTTTTTACTTGCCCATGCAATACTACAATAAATTAAATAACAATACTACAATAAATCATGCAATACTACAATAAATCAAATAACAAACTTTTAAAAGATTTATTATTTAAAAATGGTTTAGCCCTTTATATCATAGCAATACTTTTTGATATTTTTTTTCAATTCTATTTTTTATGATCACCCCAACGTAAATATTCATCTAATATTACGCCCAAAAAGTTTACTGAAGTTTCTCTTTTAATGTTAGCGTTATTGATTATTAGATTTGGCAGTTTAGCGGGAATATATTCTAATTTATTTTTTTTATAGAATAAAATAAAGTTGGTTTTATCCACAGTTAGAGACAGTTTATTACTTATAAATCTGTTATTAACCTTACCCAACTGTTGATAATTTTTTAAACCAAACTGTTTTGAATACAACATATCGTTTTCTGATAAATAACTAAATAGCCTCTAGTGCATTATTCTTTCAAGCAATTCTGAGAAACACGGTTATATAGACAAAGGTCTATAATTAGAAATAATAGAGCCATTGCTGTTCTTAAAACGCGCAACAATACCTATTTTGAAAAAATGATTAATCAAATTGATCACCTTTACGTGTCACTTGAGGTAATCAAACTGTTTTACTTTTTGCCCACGTTCCACATGTTTGTTCGTGACCGATCTTAAATTTCTTATAGTTTTTTTTAAAGGTTGAAATGCTCAATATTTTTATATGCTACATTTAAAAAAAAAAAATTTTTCTCGATTGATTCACTCTTATTTTTAACATTTTTTTCAATGAGATCTTCATGAAAATTTGACCTTTCTTTTATATCAAACTCATGAGCAGCCGTGGCGCAGTGATAGCGCACTTAACTCAGAAATAAAGGATCCGTAGTTCAAACCGCATATCTGGGCAAGCTTTGAGACATCGGTTGGGAAGAAGGTGTGAACTTCCAAAAATGCTCATCCGTGGTGCTCTGTGATAAGACTGTGAAGACGTCTTGAGGTCTTTAAAATAAAACTGAAAAAAAAAAAAACATCTCTTTTAAGTCTTTTAATTTTTTCCATATTGTCGATAATGCTTATTTCTGCTTTTTGTTGGCTGTCACTCGTTTTTTTTGCATTTGCACTAATGAGTTAAAGAACGTTTTCTTCGTATTGTTTTATTAGTAACTTTAAGTCTTTCTTGTACTCAGCCAACATTTCCCTGAACATATTTCTTATTTTGCTAATGATAACTTCCATATTTAACAATTAAATTGAAAACCAATATATATATATATATATATATATATATATATATATATATATATATATATATATATATATATATATATATATATATATATATATATATATATATATATATATATATATATATATATATATATGTATATATATATATATATAAATATATATATATATATATATATATATATATATATATATATATATATATATATATATATATATATATATATATATATATATATATATATATATATATATATATATATATCCGGAAGGTATTAATAGTTAGAGTCAGTACCAAAATTAGGTGATATTTTTTGACCATTATTGGTAGTTTCATGTTTACTTTTAGTTTAATTTGTACCTATACTTGTTATACTGTTGAGAGATAATAAACTAATGTTTTTATTTAGACTGGAGCTTTAGAAGGCCAAACATTTCGAAAAACAGGAGTTCTTCCTGATTTGAGTGAGCAAAATATAATTGATTGCTCGTATTCTTTTGGAAATTATGGTTGCCGTGGTGGTTGGATGGATAATGCATTTGAATATATAAAAGTTAATAAAGGAATTGAGAACGAATTTGATTATCCATATTATGCTCAGGTTTTTACTTTTATATATACCTATATATATATCAGGGGCTATTCGTGACCGTTTTCAATAGTGTCGACCGTATATGGGAGCCGCCCAAATTAAAACTTGAAGACCTTTTTTTTTTAACGGCAGTTATTATTTTTTCGCAAAAAAACGTAGGTTTTCCTCTAAAGTTTACGAGTACGAGGGGGTACCACCACCCAATTTTGTTTTCCTTAAATAGGCCCTGTATATATATATATATATATATATATATATATATATATATATATATATATATATATATATATACATATATATATATATACATATATATATATATATACATATATATATATATATATATATATATATATATATATATATACATATATATATATATGTATATATATATATATATGTATATATATATATATATATATATATATATATATATATATATATATATATATATATATATTTATATATATATATATATATATATATATATATATATATATATATATATATATATATATATATATATATATATATATATATATATATATATATATATACATTTATATATATATATATATATATATATATATATACTCAGATATGTTTTTGTTTTCTGTATAATTTTTTAATTTTGTATGGTTTTTACTTGCCCATGCAAATAACAATAAAAAAAATATAAACTTTTTAAAGATTTATTATTTAGAAATGGTTTAGCCCTTTATGTTATAGCAATATTTTTGATATTTTTTTTCAATGCTTTCTATATGATCACCCCAACGTAAATGTTTATCTAATATTACGCCAAAAAAGTTTACTGAAGTTCTTCTTTTAATGTTAGCGTTATTGATTATTAGATTTTTAATTTATTCAAAAAATTATTTGAAATAAAATAAATAAGATTGTTAATGAAATATTTACACTGCGAAACAATGTTTTGCAATGTGATTACTTTATTACACTGCATGTTTCAAACATGCAGCAGTTAAAATGTAACAAATTAGGTCAATTTTTTACAGTAGGTCTGAAGTATTAGTCATAACGACTTTTTTGTAATCAAAAGCTGTTAATAAAATTCTTAACTTTTCATTGTCTTATAAAGGCATATCGTACTTCTCTTTAACTGAATCATTTTGCAGACCAAGAAGATTTTGTAGACCAATGGAAGTTACAAATTACCAAACCGTGTTTAGGGATTTGGAAAAAAATTTGCAAGAAAGAAGAGTCCCCTCTTCTTTTTTGTCTCCTCCTTCATCTCAAAATTTCTTCCTAGTTCTTAACCTACTTCCTCATTCTCCCCTTTTTTTTTTCTTCTTCTTTCTCTTCCCTTTTTTTTTCTTCCTTCTCTTCCCTTTTTCCTTCATCAAAAAAATATACATAAAATAAAACTAAATTTTTTAACCTAGTTACAACCGATGCAGTGAAAATGATTTTTAATTATTACTTTGTTTGTGTTTACCTTGTTGAGTTTTTTACAAAGATAAGGAAGCTGATATAAATTACTCGTTGTAAATGGAATTTCTTTGAATACTTTGCTTTGAAAAATAAATTTTCTATGAAGTTAAGGTCAGGCGATTGTGCCGGCTATTTTAAAATTTGGACTTTGTTTTTAACCAATTATTAATGAATGATAAAAAACAAAGTCAAAAAAGGAATTTTCCTTCTAAGGATGTACAGTATGAAATGGGGCATTGTCTAGCTAAAATAAAATTAAAAATACTAAATTAAAAATTTATTTTCATTTGGAATTTTTTTATTCACAGATGTGTCATAACACGCTTCTTACACTTCAAATATAATTTTGAATTTTTTCCTTCGTACAAAAACATTTTCTCTGGCCTTTCTGCAGCCATATAACCCTATTTCATTACATTACCTCCATCAAATTTAACAATAGGCACTAGAAAAGCTGGCAAAAATGCTTCACTTCTCTCCTTAAATATGTTACGCCAGGAGTTCCATAAATCTCTAAAAAAAATCCAAAACATCAAGTTTTAACGCCTAACTTTTTCTATTTAAATTTTTAGTTATAATTATATCTATTTATTTATCTATAATTTCTGAAGAACATAATTAATTTTTAATTACCTTAAAGTTAGATTCATCAGACTAGATTACTTTATTCCATTCTTCAAATGTCCGATCTTTGTGACGTATTGTCCACTCTAGTATTGCCTACAGTTTTCTTTTTTTTAAAAAACCAAGTTTTTTTTCTGAGAGCCAAGATTTTTTTTTTGCTTTACAGCCTTTCAATCCACATTCTGTCAATTTTTTTGCTTTACAGCCTTTCAATCCACATTCTGTCAATCTTTACATCGTTTTCCCAATTTTTCAATGAAAAGTATTATTCAATAAACTTTTCACAAAAAAAAAAATAATTATATTTTATACTTTTTAATATAATAATAATAAAATAAAAGCAATTTTTACATTTTTAATTCAAAATCGAAAGTAATGGGAATCCTATTAAAAATAAAACTTGAGGAATGCCCCGATTCTTACTTTAAACCAATTTGTTGATTTAGCCTAAATGTTATATATTTAAAGAATATTATTTGGTATTCTTATCAACTTTTTTGTTAACTAAAAAAACATCCTTAACTCTATTTGCCTTCTTTCTTTAAGGATTGTAAACAAGTGTGGTGTACATATATATAAATTATATAGACTGGAGACATGTAAATATTACTTATTTGAAAATATAATAATGGTTGTGGTAAAAAACAAAACAAAAAAACTCATATTTCATATCAACCTAAAGCGCTTCTGGCGCCACCCTAAGATTCTCAGAATGCCTTTCTCTTAATGCTTCATTTTAGATGCCACCCCAACACCTCCAAGGACCACTCTGTACTCTCTTTTGGCACTACCTTAAGATTAAAACCTTTACAAAAACATTTTAACACCGTAATTAAGACAGGTACTTTGGCATCTATAGTTAAAACAGGTGCGGAAAACTTTTGACATTTTGACACCCTACGGAAAACTTTCCTTACTCTGTTAAAGTACTATCAAGCGGCCATTCCTTGGAGGGAAAAAAATCAATTAATATGTTAGCAAAATATTTTAAAATAAAATGTTTTTTAATTTCTTTGCTTGAACTGGGCAACAGCATCCATGACAACGAATACTACAACGTTGGCAGACCCAGTACCAGCTGTTCCTGCAGTGGTTTTTTGGTACCATCACCATTATTTTCAAAATTTTGACTACTTCCTGTTAAATGCTCGTTGCTTGCAGATCTGAAGTCAATTACTAGGAACTACTGGACTTCAGAGTAAAATCCATGTTACAGCTTAAAAGCCATTTTTAACATTTAGCATATTTATTTCATTTCTAGAGTTGAAAGAGGAACTGCATAAACAGCGATATGACTCTTCAACAAGATGATATGGCAACATCCCATTTAAATACAGTCTATTAGGCTGTCAATTTTTTAAATTATCAGCTTTTGTAATATTTATTGCAGGGGTTGATTTTTTTGGATAATTCATACTGATTTTTCATTTTTCAGGCTGATTTTTAAACAAATTATTCTCTAAAATACGAGTCTGAACGAGGTTTACACTACAACGAGGTTTGTAAACCTGTTAGGTTTACACTACAGTAGGAAACCTTGCTAGCCAGCCGCGGGTTATAATTGGTCTCATAATGAAGAGCAATGTTAATAAGACTGTAATTTAGTGTTGTTTATTTATCAGTAAAAAATATAACTTTCAAACGGTCACTATTTGTGACCGTTTGCAAATTACATTTTGTGACTACACAAATTTGAAGTTTGAAATCAAAGAAGGGGGGGGGTGCAGTATTTGGACCCATTGCGAACTAGTCCCCAACAAAAACAAGAATATATTGGAGCGTTAAATCCAGCTTAAGAGCCAGTAATTGATCAAGACCTTTAAAAGGGTTTAGTTCCTCGGATCTGCTTGACTATTAATGCCCTGCATTAGTCTGCCAGTTAAAGCTCTCTTAGAGAAAGGTGAAAAAAGATCTCTTACTGACCAGTATTTTTCATAATCTATTAATAATTGTATTACTTGAACTTGCATTCTTATTGTTAATTTTAATTTTAATTTTATTATTATAAGAATTTATTGAACACAATTTGAATTATTGTTTTATTAAAGGACACGGTGAGATAATTAGATGATTTAAAAATCTTTCATTATGGAATAATGAAACATATAACGCTACAGAAAGTAAATTCCTTAATACAATAAAAACAAGAATTTATAATGCGCTTCAACAACATTCACAAAAAAGTAAAGATAGATAAACTCAATACTATATTTGTAAAAAAATTAAAAAGGAAATTTTATATAAAAAAAAAAATCATAACTTTGTAAAGAGGTCAAAATATTAATTTAACATAAGAAGAATGCTACAACTTTGCAGCGTTAATAAATTTATCTAAAACAAATTTAAAGGATTTAGGTCATAATAAACGAACATACATAAAAATTTATGAGGTTTAGGTCGTAATAAATGAACATACACATAAAATAAAACATATAAAGCTAAATGCAGCAATAAATTGCGGCGATTGTCAAGTAAAATTGTAGAAAAATCACATTTATTAGAAGCAATAAAACCCAGAAATAGCAACAAAAAACCTAGCTATAGCAACCAAAAATTCAGAGATAGCCACCGAAAATTCAGACATAACCACTAATGAACTAAAAGAAATTACTAGCATACTAAAACCAAGCATAGATGTGCTTACGGACTCAAATTCAGTTAGAATAATGCAAAGATGCTAGCTAGTTGAAGGAAGATATTCTAGTGAATTTATTAAAAAAGATAAATAAAGAAATATATATAAAAAATTATAATAAAAATGGTGTAAAAAAAATTAAAAAAACAATAGTAGATGATATTGAAAAAAACCAAGAAAATCACGGCCTTATGATACTGAAGATGGTTTTAAGAGTTTAAGAGATAAACTTGAGCAGGAAAAAAAAATTTAAAAGAGGCTGAAAAAAATTTAGATAAAAATTAAAATATTTACTTCGGAAAAGAAATTTAAAAATCAATTTGCTCAGATTTGTAACATTGTTAACAGATTGATTGGGGATCTAGGTTAACAGATTGATTGGGGATCCAGGTCTCACTTTAGGTCAAAAGATAAGAATGATTTCTAAACATGAGGTTACAGTAGCTGCAGTGTTCACGGCAGTATCTTTGGTTAAAAAATTTTTTAAATAAACTTGGCAATGCTTTTAAACCTAAGAAATCTGGTATTAAGCTACCCAATTCTCCAAAGCCTGATCCTGATTATAAGCCGGAGTCAAAAAAAAGGATTTACATGATAAGTTAAAAAAGGTATTAATTTTTCTGGTAGGAAAAGCCGGCTCCGCTCTTCCTGGAACAATTAGAACTATTTAAGCTAGATTTTTAAAGTGGCTGCAAATTTAGTTGGATTTCGGTGCAAAATTTCTGGGCTGTATTAACTATAATATTTATTTACAGTAGGTGAAATAATAATTTTATTGAAACAACACTACAATACATACCGACGTTATCTCAGATCAAAAAATGTAAAATAAATATGGCTAACGTCTATTTTTTATTCCCATTACCTGCAAGCACAATTTTTCCTTGGATCTAATATGAAATTAGAGACCTTCAAACAACTGTAAACGTTCCCCTTGAAAAAATGGAGCAAATGCCAATTACCGATAGTACCTACTACCACCTTCTGTTTATAATTCTGATAAAACTAATTATTCAAAAAGATTTAAAATATCTGATGACAAGGAGGCCAACCAGTTTAAACTTTAATTATAGCAGCTGGAAGTGACGCCATCTTAAAGCTGGCTATTGGCACCCATTGACCCAAGCATTGGTACCCATATCAAAAGTTTAATCCAGATTTTATTTATAACTCAGAAACATAGCTACCAAACATTCTTCCCACTATTGATGATGTACAGATTGATTGTAAACTAACCTTTACAGATGGTTTTTCAAGGTGCCCTATAACAATTAAAAATTGACAAAATCTGATAACATGCGTTTACTATTCGTTCAGTTTCAAAGCTGTTTACAAAAGTTGCATTTTAATTTTCTATTTCAATATTTCCCTCATACCTGAAAATTGGGAAGATATTTTATTCAACTGGATAAATATTTTCCTAACCTATAGGCGCGGCAACATTTAAAGGAATATAAGTTACTGTGACTACTTTATCTCCAGTTTAGGTTTTATAACTGTTGAGTTGCTTAATTTTAAACTGTTTTTTTTTACAGCCTTCCAAAGAAATTCATCAAATTACTTTTAAATTTACTGGATATGATGGATTAGCTAATATTTTTTCTCAAGCTGTTTTATTTTTTCATATCTTGGATATGTTGTTGTGAGTTAAACAATAAACAGGCTATAAAATAATAATAATGGAAAAAATGAAGTTCGATCAAGTGCTGCATGAGATTAACAAAGGATTTTAAGCTTTGGCTTCTTCGTTAAAAGATGTTCCTTTTCAGCCTATACCAAACATTCTTTCGACTTTGCTATTTCAAGCAGCTTTTTTATATGTTGAAAATGCTAATGAGCTTAATAAAAACGTTTGCATCGTAAAAAAAAATTTTTGCTGCTCTATCAAGTTATGATAAGTCTGGCTAATTATTAGAAGTCGATGGCAACAGTCTCGTAGGGACTGGCGTTGGACTCATGTATCTGGGACTGGTGCTGGATGTGGAACTATTTCAGCTCTTTTTAGTTTTGTTTAAAAAACATAAGAGCTGCAGCAAACGCTACCACATGTTATATACGGAAGCTGCGGAAACCGCTTTTTCACTTCAAGAATTAATTTCCCGAGCGATTAACGATGGCGAGCTTTCAGCTAATGAGTTTGCCTTGCTTGAAGAAAAATTTTGACCATTTTGTAGAAAATAGTACTACAAAAGCGTGCCGTAATTATTTTTTGCTCAAATTTCAATTTCACTACTGAAATTAATTTATAATAGTTTAATAGTTAGTTTTTACTATAATATAGAATATGTATAATGTAGAAATTTTAGCTAATATTATGTAAAAATATATTTTTTGAAGCCCTACTGTTTCTTAATTTTGTAAATGTTCAATTAAAACTTATTTGCTTCATCGCACAGTGGTCCAGTACCATGTCATAAATACAGAAACATAGTTTGTTTTATAATAAAAACAATTTAAAAATTGAATTATATATAGTATGTGAACACCAGATTTAAATTTTTAAGGTCCGTTATTAGAAAAAAATTGTCTTAGGAGGGTTTGGAGTTCAAAAATTAACACAAAATTACATTTTTTTGGGCAAAAATCAGTCTGCAAACTTTTATACATTTTCGCTCCTACCAATGTCACAGATATACCAATTTTTTTTAGTATTCTTATAAAATATAAAGGATCAATATAAAATAATTTAAAATATAAAATTTCATAAAAAAGACACAATTTACCGCATGTTTTATACTTTTTTCATTTAAATTGTTTGATTTTAAAACTTTGAACAATCAGGAAAATTTTCTCCCAGGTTTTCCCAGCTTGAATTTTTTTGCGTTTGAAAAAATGATGTTTATAGAAGCTATAGTTACTTGTTATTGAATAGTGTTTAGCTAACAATATTTGGTGCCCACGATTATTATTTTTTCTTCCTCTATCTCTACCACATGTCTGCATAATCCATGCTTATTTGACTTCACAGTTTCTGCAAAAAAAAATTGTTTGTTTAATTATGCACCAAAGAAACATAATAAATTGAAAGTAATTCTGTAATGCAAAATTGAAACTGAAAAAATAAATTTTTCTAAACCACTTACCAATAGCAGCATATGCAATCAACATTTTTTCTATTCCAATTTTTTGTCTTTTCCCTGCATAGTTTAACTTTACAACTAGGCCATTTTAAAAAACTATACTTAGCAAATAAAATATACAATCTTCTTTGTCTTTAACTCCGATTTGTGCCAAATAATTGACCTGCAAAAATACACTGGCAATAATTAAAGTAACTTTTGTTTAGACATAAATTAATATAAAATGTAATTTACAAAAAATCTTAAAAGAGTACTTTATTTAAAGTATATAAATTGTACTAAGATATCATACAAAATGCATAAAAAAATTATAAAAACATATTTACCATTTACTAACGTATGTTCTTTCTTCCAGAGTACTTGAATTCTTCACTGCTTTTATTAGCAATGACACTCTTTCAGGCAATACAATAATTAGTATACCTTTGGTAATCAAATTTTTATAACTGAATTTGATGTGTTTTGTAGTTTACCAAGTTGTACTTCAATGACGACTAAGAATGAAAACTAAGAAAAACATAAGTTTCAGAAAAAATAAATGGGTGATACCAAAAAAAACATAATAGCTTAATTGAGTGTTGTATTTTAAAAATGTGACAAGTCACAAAATTAAAATTTTACAAGGGAGTGAAAAATATTTCTCCTGTAAAAAATTTTATTTTTATTTTATCTAAAAATTTGTTTATTTTATCTAAAAAATTTGTATATTTTATCTAAAAAATTGTTTCTTTTCTCTAAAAAAATCTTTATTTTATCTAAAAAAAATCTTTATTTTATCTTAATGTTCTTTTATTTTAAGTGAGGTTATTTGAAAAGAATATCTTTTTGAAAATATTCTTTTCAAATAACCTTTGTGTTTAAACGTGACCTTTGTGTTTAAACGTGATGAGTCACACTTTTAAAAAAAGTGTGACTCATCACGTTTTCAAAATACATTTTGAAAACGTTCATTTGTGAAACGAGTAACTTCTTAACTAGAATTACTGATTTTTCCATGACTATCTAAAGAAAAAAATAATTTCCTGACTTTTCCAGGTTTTCCATGACTTTAGCCAATATTAACAAATTTTCCAGATTTTCAAGGTACAGTACGGACCTTGTCCAATGTTTGTAAATAACTTTTTTTACATATTTTAGTTCTGAATTTTAATAACACTATTTTTAAAAATAATATCATCTATAAAAATATATAAATATATTAAAAATAATATCATCTATAAAAATACATCTATAAAAATATAAAAATAATTACCTTCGTCTATTAGATAAATTTAAATAAACGTTTATATAATGAATAATAATGAATCACCAGCAACTGTTAAAACTTTAAACTGATATGAATACTGATATAAATTCAAATACTGTTGTTTTTTTCAACATTTGATTTCAAATGGTTTTCAAAGTTGGTGACACCAACTTTGAAATCCAACAAAAAATTTTTGTTACGTTCATAAACTTAAATGTTCTCAAAACAACTAAAAAACCTGGCCAGTTTTTCCCAACTAAATATATTTTCTGTGGTCAGTATTCGAGAGCAATCGCTCCCGCTTCCTGACCAAGCCTGTGGTGTAAGCTTTGATATTTTGATTATTACATACTAAAATGTTAATTAACACTCTGACTTTTTGACCGTAATATATGAAAAAGGTTTTAAAATTGTAAAAGTTAAAGCTATGAATAAAGATTTTCAATCATCAGACATAAAGACTTTTATATAAAAACTTGCAATTTAATAAATTTTGTTCATTCAACTTCTCAGAGCAAACATTGAACTTCTGGAAAGAGTTTGAAGTTACAGGTAAATCCCAAAATTTAATAATATTTTGTTTTATTATAAGAAAATAAGGATAAATCATCTACGCCAAGATATACATAATTTTTAGTCTCTTTAATCTTTATTTTGACTGGTCAATTTCGCTGTCTTCCTTTTTTGTCTCCACAGCAGAAATTTAGCAGAAGGCTAAATTTCTGAAAACCAAAGAAAATACAGTCTCTGATATTGGTAAACAGTGTTCGAGTAACTAGAAATTCTGATGGTCTGTTTTTGTAATTAATATAAATAAAATTAACGCTTTTTACAATTTCCTGATGAAAATCACTTTTAATTATAGCTTGAAAAGATTCCTTTGGAATTATATTTTCTGCATCTTCCATCATAACATCGTATTCTCATAGTGCTTCTTCGCCACGCAATGATGTTTTCCAATTGCTGTTTTCCTTCTGACAAACATTAAGAACGTCAGCGGTTAGAATACAAGGAACAACATTAGGAACAGTTGGAGTTAGTTTAGAGCGAAGAAGAAAATTGATAAAGTGACTCAATGATAACAAATAGGAACGTTGAGTACCTGGTTCATAACCTTTTTGTTTAGCATAGGGAAACCATTTCTCTTGTAGCAGTTTAAGGTCTAAAAGACTTGTATAACATATAGTAGTCAAATTGTGTAGCATTAAAGAGTTAGGTGAAATGACTTCTACTATTCTTCTAATTTGATGCATTTCATTTAATGCAGCTTGGGGATCTTTCTTTCCTCCAGACGGACTTTTTAAATAAAGAAGAAACGTATGCAGATAATCTTGAAAACAAATATGGTTATTTTCTCCTTTTTCAATTGTATTATTTGTTTCATCAAAATCATTGCAAATATATTCATCTGCATTTAATGCATCAATGCAAGGATTACTATTATGTTCATTTGGCAAGCAAGAAGATTTAAAACAGACTTCATTTGGCAATGTTTTCATCAATCCTGACCTGGTTGAATTTGGTAAAGCAGACTTGATATCAATTAATTCAGATTGTTTTTTTGTTTGTGATAGTGAAACTGTAAATTGTTTACTTTCAATATAAAGTTGCTTTTTGCTGAGCATCTCTCTATATTTAGGCAAATTATTTTTAAGATAATGCGGGGATCTATAAAGATGATCATGTATATTTTATGTAGCAATGCTACAAATAGGATATCTGTATTTTGTTTTATTTTTAGATTTTTCACCTTCATCTACAGATCTTGTTTTTCTCAGATCAAAAAAACCTCTTGCTTTCCTTGCTGTTTCAGGATCAATATTATGTATATTTCTTAGATGTCTTGGAAGATCAATTATGTAAGCATCACAATCTTCTTCTGTGTACCTAACCTTTTGACGGACATACTTTTTTGACTCTTTGGAATCATTGCATTATTTACTCTTTATATTACTTTTCCATAGTTGGAACAGCTGTAATAACAAAAATACAAAACTCTGCTTAAATAAGTCTTCTTAAAAGAAATCAAAGTAAAATAATATAAAGTAGAATCTCTGCATTTGAAGAATCGCTTAATTGAAATTTTTGGTTATTCAAAGTAATTTTTATTCCCCTTAAACCTTCCTTAAAAGACTCATGTATCAGTTATATAAAATTTCAGCTATTTAAAGTAAATTTTTATCCCCTGTTGAGGTACAAATAACCAGGACTCTACCATATTAATAACATTTAGAATTGAATAGCATAAAAAAATCCTGTTTAATTTAATGTAAAATTTAATTAAATTAAAAAAAAAAAAGAAAAAAAAAAAAGAAAACAAACCTTTTCAGCCTCAGAAACTAAACCAACTTTCATAAATCCTGTTAACATACTTCCCATTTTCATTTGCTCATTTTCATTCATTGCAACTCTACTAAACAACAAATGTTATTGTGAAAATAAAATTTATGTAAATATATTATATACAATAAAATTTATGTAAATGTGTTTATAAGTATTTAAATTGTTCTTGATGTCAACCTGTGAATATCATTGTTCAATTCTTTATTCTTTTGAGACTAAATTAAAAAAAGAAGATTAACAGAACATCATAAAATCAGTAATAATTTAAAATGTTGTTATAAAAATAAATATATTTTTGCAAAAATATTTTAATGTTATTGTCTGATTATGGAACTGTCCATATAGCTTCGATTATCCATGTAGTATCAAGTGTCTATATTATCTCAATATAACCAATATAAATAAAATTAGTTATGAATGTTCTCCATAAGAAAAGGTAGTTTTTAATGAAACAAATATTTTTTAATGACAAATAAAAACTTACAAATTTTTTTCCAAACCGTTTATACACTTTGGTCATATCACTTAAATGTTCCTAAAATGTTTAAATTATTTAAAAAAATATTTATACCTTAAAAAAGAACCAGAGAGTTCACAAATGCTAATGTTAAACATAACTTAAAGTTTATATAAACCACATTTGGGTCTTTTATTAATTTATTGAGCAACTTCAACAAAAACCAAAAATGTAATTTATAGATTTAGATTTCCACAAGCTAAAATAGTCAACACCCAGCAATCACTACACTATACCAATATACAATATGTTGGACCAACATGCACAAATTATGCCCAATGATTCCAATGTTGTTCTGACATTGGTCAAATGTAGTGTGCAGGCTGAGTAGTGCAAAAAATAAATATAAGTAAATAAAAATAAAAATAAAATTACATTTAGTTCCATCCCATCCAAACTACGACTTAATGCTTTTGTTACTGACAATTTTCCCTGAACAAATAAATTTTATTATTGTATATATTTGAAAAAGATTTAAATAAAGTCTTTAAAATATATTTTCATTTTAACATAAAGTAGACAAAAGCTAATAACAATCATTAAAAAGCAGAAAAATACAAATATAAAAATGTATAAAACCCAGCTTACAAAATAGACCATAACTGGCAAAATTCAAGTTATATAGAAAAAGTATCTTACTTAGCAAGATAATTTAATATGCACTTATTGCATATCTACTTAATAATTATTTTTAGAAATCGAATTAGGCCTTTTTGCTAATAAAATAGGTTAAAAAAATTCCAAACATTTTTGGGTTCTCAAATATTTTCTTATCGTTATAAAAAAATGTTCAATTTTTTATATATATTTATTTAATAAAAATTTTTTTTGAAAATTTGATGAAATTTGTGCATCACTTTAGACACTTTATGTTTTTGAAAACCTACAAAAACTGCAAAATTGCAAAGCAAAAGATATTGAATATAAAAAATATATAGTAAAACATTTACTTCATCCTTATTTCACAACGAATGCTTTCATCCAATACTGAACAAACCTGTTAAAAAAAAAAATTATGTAATCATTACATAAGTATTGTTTTTTTAAATATTATTATATAACCTTATATAGTAAAACATTTACCTCATCCTTATTATCAACATGTATAACTTTATATTCTTCAACTTCACAACGAATGTTTTCATCCAATACTGAACAAACCTGTTAAAAAAAAATATGTAAGTATTATATAAATATTGTTTTTTTAAATATTATTATATAACCTTATATAGTAAAACATTTACATTATCCTTATTATCAACATGTATAACTTTATATTTTTCAACTTCACAACAAATGCTTTCATCCAATATTGAACAAACCTTTTTATAAAAAATGTAACTATTATAATAATATCATTTTTTTCAAATATTATCATATGGCATAAAAAATATATTTTTATGCATTGTTTTATTTTAATAATTTATTTCAAGCAGTGTAAAAATAACAGATAAGAAGAAAATCAAATTTAACTCAAAAGATATCAATTCATAAAGATATCAATACCATAATTAACCAGAGATGACAGATTAAAATAACATTACTCACTTCATGTTTATTATTAACACTCATTATATTTTCTTATCGAGAAATAGACCCTTTATCGATATCATCATTAACTTCAATGTCAAAATTAATTTCTTCATCTAATTCTATACAAACCTGTTTAAAAAAATATTTTAAAAAAATGTCAAAAATATATTAAAAGATCACTAGATTTTGTTGCATTAACTTTGAGAACTTTTTGAACAAATGTTTTTTTATAATAATTTTTTTAAATTAAAACGAAAACTTTTAAAATTAGTACACAACTTAGCTTCTTTTCAGACAAAAATTGTTGTCTGTTATATGTATGTATAAATATATACTATATTATATAAAATAGTATATTATAAATATGTAATTTTCACTTCCCATAACACTTAAGTCAAATTTTGCAGTTAAAGGGTTGATAATCAGTAGTATGAAAAATAAAAACAATTTCAAAACTCACCCTTGTCACTAATTCTGATACTAGTTCTGTAATTATAAAGTTCTGAAAAATATAGCCAATTTATTTTAATATAATGTACTAAATCCATTCAAAAAAGATATATAAAATATAAAATGTTAAAATAAAAATTTAAATTTTTTAAATGATATTGAATTTTCAATCAAAATAACTTTACTTTATTAAAAATAATTTCAATAGTAATTAGATAATATTTAATTAATTTTCATTATTTATGTCTGAATAAGCAACGAAGTAAATAAAACAAACCTTATCTTCTTTTTCAACTGTAACACATTCTTTTTTAACGCTCGAGTTTCTTGATTTGACCATCTTTGTAAACGCTCATGTTCTAAAATATTATAACACAAAATCAAAAAGAAAGAAAACATAAAATGAAATTAGATTTAATTAGTTGAGATAAACAATTTAAAAAATTAGCAGGAACTGTTATAAAATAACATAATATTACTAAATATATAAATATAATTATTTTTCAAATAAAACAAGTATGGAGAAAACATACTAGCTATTTGAGATCTTTTTAGCCTTTCTATTACATTTTCTGTAAAAGACTTACCGCAGTCTAAAATAAATAACAAACAATAAACAAATCAATACAAAACAGCTTAAACAAACAATATAAAATTACATTTTAGAATTTAGAGTTTTAAAATTAAACTTACAATTTATAATTATTTTGTAAAACACATACTTAACAGACTTTAAAAAAAAAAAAGGAATAAATTTACTAATTTATAAATTGACTAAAGCAATAAATTGATTAAAAACTTAGATTATTTTAACTTAGATTACCAGATGATTTATCAAATTCATCTCCCTCTGACAATTCTTAATTCCTTAGATAAAATATAGCAAATATAAACATTTTAGAAAGATTTGAAACAAAAAATAAAGATTTCAAAGCACTTTCACATATAATGTGTAAACAACTTTTATAGTTTAAACAAGTTTTCTGTGAAAAACAATATTTTGGTTATTTAACCGCTTTATTTAGACATTATTTAGACTCGAGTTACATTCAGTTAAACAAAAATGTAAACCTTGCTACCGCATAACTTATATAAAACTATCTTGGAAAAATAATAAATTACCTATCAGAAATATAAGTCATTATTAAAACTTCAGCCTAACAATAAATCAAAGTATACAAACAACTTTAAAAAATAAAAACAAATATAATTAAAAAAATAATAAATAAGTCAAACTAAAATAATAACAAAATAAAAAAAAATAAATATATATATATATATATATATATATTTATATATATTTATGTATATATATATATACAATTCATAAAAACTATATCAACTAGATAATACTTGAATTCTTGACATGCCCTCAACCTTGGCAAATAGATAAATAATGGCTTCTGGAACCAATACTTTGAAAACGTATTCATTATGCTATATTAAAAAAAGGTCACAGTGATGCAAGGTTTTGTTTTTTTTAAAGATTATTGCACTCAGCAAGTATCGGGTCATCTATATACTACATATGCAGTGAGGGGGAAGTGTCACAAGTTGAGTAAGTTTTGTATGAGTGTGTATATGGGTGTGAGAGGGAAGGGTTCAACAAATGTATGTATGCAAACCCAAAAAATTGAGATGGCAGTTCACCTTCACTTGCCCATTAATAAATGGTGAACGCTTGTGTTCATATCCTGTTAAGATTATTAAGGTTGAACAACGCAAAAAAAAAAACGTTTTTTTTTTCAAGTTTGCGATCAACACTAGAAAAAAAAAAAAAAATTTTAATAAATTAACACTACTATCTTATTTGTAGAAATTAAATTTACTTATGATTAAAATTTTAATAAGATTAAAATCACACTTCAAGACAATTAAATTATTGATTTAATTGTTTCAAAGTGTGGTTTTAATCTTTTTTAAAGTTTTTCAAAATAAAACCTACGTAATGCGGAAGGCTTATGACACAATATAGACATTTTAATTCAAAAAATTGTTTATGTCGACAAAGAAACAAAAAAGCAACCCAGTCTTTTTTAAGAAAATGGATAACACTGATAGAAACAATTGACTGAATGTTATACGTTAACGTAACATTATAAGTAACGTAAATAATAAAGTTGGGGGAGGCGGTTAAGCACATTAAGCATATGTATGCATAAGAGGAGGAGGGGGGAGAGATAAAATGTATAAGGTGCAACAGGGGGTAAGGGGAGGTCCAAATCTGGAGATTTTTGCATATGTAATATATAGATGGCCCCTAAATTTTTCATTTTTATTAAATAATGCATTAAAAAAACATGACTTAAAACTTACTTTTATAGAATTATATGATCGAGCCAAAGCACTATATAGATTGTGTTGCTGATCCTCATTTAATATGTCTATAAGTTCTTGATCACATAAATTTCCTAATTTATAAAGCATTTTAAATAAAAAATAGTTGACTAAATCATTTTTTTAGAAATTAAAAAAAAGATGGCATACTTTTGCTTTCTTTTCCTGAATAAAATAAATTGTGCCTGTAACTGAAAACCTAAAAGTCATTACAATGAAATGTTAATTTTTCAAATTTACCTCTCTCTCTCTTTCTCTTTTTCTCTCTCTCTCTCTCTCTCTCTCTCTCTCTCTCTCTCTCTCTATATATATATATATATATATATATATATATATATATATATATATATATATATATATATATATATATATATATATATATATATATATATATATATATATATATATATATATATATATATATATATATATATATAAATACAGTGAAATACCGATATCTCGAACCCCTAAACCAAACTTAAACATTCCTTAAGTTGAAGAATTTTATTTGTCCCTGTGGCTGATGTTTTGTTGGTAACCCGAACTTTAGAAGAAAAAAATTAGAACAAAATCTTATTTAAAGTTATTATTATTGATTTATTAAATTAAAATTTTTCAATTTTTTAAATATCAATAAAAAAAATATACTAAAAATTTCAAAACTAAGACAGAGAGTCATTAGTAGATGTTATATTATATGAGGTATTTTATTTATCATTTAAGATCGGATAAAAAAAAACTTTTGATAACTAAAAATAATTTCACTTATCTTTAAAATTTCGAACTAATTTTTTAATCCTGCGTAGGTTAGAGTAATCAGGAGTTCACTGCATATACATATATATATATATACATATATATAAATATATATATATATATATATATATATATATATATATATATATATATTAATATATATATACATATACATATATATATATATATATATATATATATATATATATACATATACATATATATATATATATATATATATATACATATATATATATATATATATATACATATATATATATATATATATATATATATATATATATATATACATATATATATATATACATATATATATATATATATATATATATATATATATATATATATATATATATATATATATATATATATATATATATATATATATATATATATATATATATATATATATATATATATATATATATATATATATATATATATACAGGCCTTGTTTTAAAGCGTTACGCCTTAAGCGCTTTTTACGTACGCGTAGAGCTGTTTTGGTTAAGCTACTTTTTATCATTTTTTAACTTTTAAATTAGCGGTAACATTAAAGAAGTAATTAATTTTCAAAAAAACCACATTAACTTTTAAATAACGTAAAGGTATTTATTAAAAAAACCACAAAAAAACCACATTAACTTTTAAATAATGTAAAGGTATTTATTAAAAAAAGAATTTACTTTAAAATTAATTGTTGTAACTTTTCATCGCGATATATCTTTCCTTTTTTTTAATTTGCAATTAATTTAACGCTAAACTTTTTATCCAAATATTTAGCAACATGAAAAATTGTTTGTCAATCCTTAACTACAAATTTTTTGCAATGTTTTTAATAAAAAGTAGTAAAGTTTTTAGTAAAAAACTTTTAAAAAATCTATATTCCATATTTATTAATACAGAATATAAAAGTTTTTTGTAATATAGATTTTTTATGAATTTTTTACTGAATTTATAATAAAAAACATTTGCAAAAAAATTTGTAATTAAGAATTGACATTTTTTTAAATAAAATCTCAAAAAATGTCTTAATATTTTTGTTATCATGATAACAAAAATATCAAGACATTTTTTCGAGATGTTAAAAAAAATGTCTTTGCTTTTCTTATTAGTTTAATAGTATATAGCTTATAGTTAGTTTAATAGTATATAGCTTTTCTTATTAGTTTATTAGTATATAGTTTAAGTTATGCGGGGGGAGGGGGTCGGCACAGAAAAAAAAATTACCTGTTACTCGCAATATTTGAATGAAGACAATTTGTTAAAATTCTTCTGCGTGCGATTCAATAAGTTTTTTTTGTCATAAATCAAGTTATAATATAAGGTAAAGAAATCATGAGTAGACTACAACATCCGCTGATGACACTAATATTACGTTGAATATATTTATATAACGGAGGTTTTATTATGCACGCGCACATTACAGGTTCCGTTAAATAAATACTAAGGCACGTTTTAGTTTAATGACAGTCTCCATTTTTTACTAATGAATGTGTATTTTTCTTTATAAACAAAACAAACTAGTATATAAAAACCTTGTATATTTCTATTATCTCTAAATTATTTAAAGTTCGAATATGGATTGTATTTTGAAGGATAAAAGATTTACTTTAAAAACTTTTAAATCTTGGGACTTTGCCGATGCGATGATCACAGAAAAAAAGAAGACTTACGTTATTAAAATCAAATGTAAGTTATGTGATCTTCATCAAAATAAAATATTATCCAAAAACAATAGTGCCGTAAGGGCAACTGCCCAACGGTTTATAAATAATACAAGTCATGTTAAAATATTTTAATATGTTACTATATTTTAATTAAGTTGATATATAATTAAAAATAAAAATATAGTTCAATAAATAAATTAAATTTATTCTTAACAAAGATTACCTCATATTTATTCTTTTTTTTATTTTATTAAGTTAAATTGCTTACAAACGAAAAAAAAAAAGAGTTTTGTAATTATACGTAGAATGAAAATACTTTTGAGTTTGTTTATAAGTTAAGGAACTTAATTTTTAATAAACAAATTTTTACTAACGTTTATTATAAACAGATACGATTCAAATTATTAAATATACTTAAATTATTTCAGTTGAGTATTTTTATAAGTTTGCACGATTAAAGTTTGGCGTACAAGTATTTGTTTTTTTGTTTTAAGAATAATTAATAAAAGAGTTTGCATAATTAAGACTTTTATATTTAATTTAATTTTTTTTTTAATTTCCAAAAATTAAAAAAAAAAAAAAGATTTAATCGTTGAAAACGATTTTTCTCTATAGCTCTGTTTCTTTGTGATTTGTTTAAAAAGTTAAATATTTTTACAATAACATAAAAAGTTTATGAATTAAATTCCTAGCGAACGCGTTCTAAACTACGTATCAAAAATACGCTTCAAAGCAGACAAAACTTTTTTATATTTTTATAAAACGCAAGTTGAAACGCTTTTAAAAATTTAAAAAATATTTAAAAACTTAAATTTTTCTTTGCTAGTCAAAACAAAATCGTTGTTTAAATAATTAACATGGGTGTGTGTTTATCAATGTTAATATTTTTTGTTTACTCTAGAAATTTTTAAAAATAAAAAAAATCATTATTATTTTTTATTTAATAACGATTAAAAACAATTATTCAAAAACAAATTTCAGAAATTATTAATATATATATATTTTTTTTTTCACTAAATAATATTGAACTAAAATTAATAATAAAATAACAATTGAAAACATTACAAAATTTTCATAATAAATTTATATTTAAAACGTTTATAGTTTATATTTGAGTTAATTGTTAAATTGAATTAGTTTGCGGTTATTTATTTATTGCGGTAGTTAAAACACTTAACGCCTAAAAAAAAAATAAAGATAATTTTATGACGTCAAAATCGCGTTAAGCTAATGCATTAAGCACTTTTGTTATTTAAAACAAGGCCTGACATATATATATCTTGTTAGGTATATATATGTAAATATATACATATAAATATATATACATATACATATATATATATATATATATATATATATATATATATATATATATATATATATATATATATATATATATATATATATATATATATATATATATATATATATATATATATATATATATATATATATATATATATATATATATATATATATATATATATATATATATATATATATATATGTATATATATATATATATATATATATATATATATATATATATATATATATATATATATATATATATATATATATATATATATATATATATATATATATATATATATATATATATATATATATATATATATATATATATATATATACATTTTTATTCATTTAACTGATTTTTTTTTTAAATTTTCTCAATACCAATATTAGAGAGAAAAACTCAGACAGAATGACATTTGCACATTTTTAAATTTATGATGTACTTTATTAACCTTTTAGGTTTAATTTAAAATAAAAAAAAATTATAACTAAAATTATTTTCAACAAGGGCTATTAAGTTCAACAATCTAATCATTCAAACCCTTAAACAGTTGGAGTTTTTTATGTTATATACTTTTTTTTTACGATTTCTTTTTTAAGCGAGTGCCATCGCCTTAACTAAGAAGCTTTGATTGCTTTGAGCATAAATATGTAAAAGAACAGATGTTTTTATCAATAATCAATTTTTTTTAAATTATATAATAATAAACTAAAATCTATTGGTATTGTACCTGACCAGAAAATATATATTTAAGTAAGTGAGAAGAAGCAATCTCCTCTATTTTTTCTTTAGTCATTTTTTGAATACCTAAAATAAAAAAATATTTCATTTTGAAACTATTATTTATTTTAAATAAATTTAAAAGTACCAAATAAAAGTGAAATTTATTATTCGTTTATTTTTACTGTTTTTCCCACAAACAGTTTCTTTCTGTTAGAACTAATTATAACTAAATATAAAATAATCTTACTTCCCAGCATTAAACTTTAAATTAAAATAAATTCTACATTACTAACGATTAGTAACTAATAAGAACTTTTTTTCTAAAATATTTTTAAAAACTTTCTTAAAAAACAATAACAAAAAATAGTAGAAAAAGTTATTATGAGATATCATAATTACTTTTTCTACTGCTTTTTGTAATAAATTTTCTACTATTTATTATAATAAAGTAACATACTTTATTATAATAGGTCTTTGTTAGTACAAATATTTATAAAATCTAACAATTAATTTATACATCTTAATTTGTATAACTGCTTATCAAAAAAGTCGCATAATAATAATAGCCACCAGCAACTTTCAAATCTTTTAAAAAAATCAATTGCTTCAAACGGTAGTACCTTAATTGAACCATAAAACTGTAATAAAAGTTGCTAGTAATTCTCTGGATTCAACTCAATTTTATTTTATTTTAATTTTAATTTTTTATATACAATTCTCTATGAAACATTAATTGGCCCAAGTCCTAATAATTAAAATTTTAAAAACATTTTTTCTAGGTAAAATACATTTTTCAGTCCATTATTTTTAGAAAATAAAATGTAAACAACCTAATTTTTTAACTTTTAAAAGCTTCCATATGTTTGGGTCTTAAAAAAAAGGGTAGTTTTACATAAAAATAGAGTAATTAGCATAGATCATTCAGGTCATATTTTGAAAATCCGGAAAATTGTTTGTGTAAATTATCTGAAAAAAATCAGAAATATTTTTCCCCTTATTTTCTTCTTAACTTTGCTTTCAGCTGAGTTGTTTCTTAATTTTTTCCTAACTTTTGTATAAGTCAATTATATTACACAAATAAATTAACTTGCATAAATGGAAAACTCTTTGGATAAAACTGAATTAAACAAAATTGTGTAAATAAAACATGCAGCAACATATTTGGCTTTAGATAGATACTTAACAAAAAAAACACTTCAGATATTTTTGCTTTTAAAAAAAATATATATATCTTTTGTGCTAGAGAACTTTTAACTAATGCAGAAAAAAATAAAATTTTCAGTTGGAAAGTTTAAACTTTGTTTACATTTCCTTTTTTTTAATAAAGCATTTTTTTTTAATTTTTAAAAAAATGGTGTCTTTAAAAACAGTTTATTTATGTCAATTTTAACTTTTTTTCTTTTATAATATAACTTCTAGTTGATTATAGGATTTTTATTTTTCAGTTAATTTTTATTTTCTTATAAACTATCTACTCCAGTTTGAAGTAACTTAATACCAAAAATTGCTGGTATCAAATAAATAATGAAAAATTTACCTTTACCAATTATTTAGTCTTTTTTTGTTGGGGAAACTTTGCAACAACCTTGTTAATGAAATAATTAAATTATGCAGATTAAAAAACACAAACTTCATTTTTATTTAAACAAATTTTTAACTTATGCAACTTAAAGGTTTATGCAATCGACTGAATTTTGTTTTATCATTAAAAAAATGTTTATTTTAGAGTTAAGTGACTCTCTTATTGGCAAATTTAACAAATCAACGAGAGTCTCATTGATTTGTTAAATTTGTTTAACATACCATCCAAATTTGAATTAAAATTTTAACATATTGCACAATTGAATACTTTCATATTGTATATGTATACTATGAAATAGTATATGATGATAGTATCAGTATAAATAAGTATTAGTTAACCTAATAACAAATGAATAATAAAAAACATCCAAAATTTAATACCTGCACATACTTTACACACAACATAGCCATCCCCATCTGTTCCTCCATGGCATTGGATGTCTATTAATTTGTTACACAGGGCACATATGGTTCCAGATAGGGAAGCGTCCCCAGAACATACGTGGCATTTTACCATTTTAATAATTATTTGTTGACTAAATATTTTTAAACTTTAAATTTAATTACTAAGATTTTCGTATTATTAAACATACAAAAACATATCAAATTCTTTAAGAAATATTAAACGTTTTATAGAAAATTTTACCTAATATCATATTAGGTACAACGTTCTAAAAACCATTTAATACCTATCAATGCTTTAAAAATTTGACTGAACATATATTCAGTAAAACATAAGGCACAATAGATAATAAAATGTGTATTCAAGTAAAGACAATTTATTTGAAATACTACATAAGTTAAATATTTCTCAATAAATTTAATTTTTATAATCTTTTAATGAAATCAACCTTTTGGAAACAATTATAAACTTTCAAAACTTTTCTTGAACAAATTTCCAGCGATTCCTCGAGTAAGTTTAATGGTAAAAACTGAAGTTTATTTCAACTGTTGCCAATTTGAACTCTTGCGGGTTGCAAAAACGAGTTTAAACACATTGAAGTTGCAAAAACGAACGACGTGGATGCAAAAACGAAACAAAGTTGCAAAAACGAACGCTTAAGTTGCAATACCGAAGAAAAAGCCGCAAAAACGAAAAAAAAAGTGGCTATACCGAATTTAAACATGATGATGATCATCATCATCATCATTATCATCATCATCATCATCATCATCATCATCATCATCATCATCATCATTATCATCAACAGCATAAAAGCAAAAAGCTTGAAAATGATAATAAAAATTATTTTGATGTTGTTGATCGTCATCATGATAATCATCATCATCTTTATTATGGCACTATGTAAGGCTCACTCTCCAAATTTTCTTACTTCTACCACAACCATTTTTTACTGAAGCTGCTACCACTCTACATGTTAATATCTGAATTACTTTAACTTTTTCTAAAAAAAAAGGTTGTTTAATACAACGTTTTTTCTAATCTGTCTAAGATTATGCCTACTTTTTATATCTTGTTAGAATCACACCACACATCCATCTGATCATTTTCTCTTTCGGCTAACACTACACCATATAAATACTAAAGTTTATACAACAATGAAAGGATATTGTATGCCTGCATCTAAACAAATAGCAAACAGATATGCTTATATCTATAATATGTATGCAAAAAGTACATCTTGGAAGCTTATATTGCTTCTGGAATAAAAGTT